ATCTAATTTCTGGCTGACGATACAACAAACTGTTCGAAGGTTTATTTTTATTTCGGAAAATCATTATTGTTTAATGTTACAACTTAAGTAATAGGTGAAACATTCCAAAAGCATTCCAATATTCCGTCGTAGCACTTAATTCACTTCTAAGCACTTACCAGGTCGCAACGAATAAAAGTACGGTACGTATTCAATAATTTTTAACTTCATCAACTATTAGCAGCAAAAACAATCCAAAACTAATTTCCAATTATTTATGCCTGACAAGTACTAAATATGAAAGCTGGAAATTGGCCACTCGTTTCCGAAGTCCCATTGGCACTCTCCACTGACTTCATGAAATTGACCAGCACTCCTTTCGATTCAAAAGACTTTACTCCCTCTCCTTGATACCATGATGGAGGACCCTTGATAAGCGACACAAGCCTATAGCTTTTATGAGCCTCCAAACGAATTGGCGGATCAAACATTACATCGAAGCTATAATGATTATTAGTCTCTTCCTTTATGGAAGAGTATGTTCCTGATTCCTTTCGGAGGCAAGAATTGTGGGCTGTAACTTTAACTTCGGTAGAAACAGTATACTTGCCGCCGTCTGAGCCAAAATGCTGAACACCGTGTAGAAAGATTGGCTGGTTGATTGCAAATCCAATACTGTCGGCTCTACCTAAGTAAGACCAAGTTCCGTTCATACCAATTGGCGGATTGAATTTTAGAAATCGGAATAATACATCGGAATACCGCTCCTTGCGGTATCCTTAAATAACAAAGGATATTTTAAAACGCCGCTGTAATGTTTCATCATGTTTCCAACCTCATGAAAAGTGAGAATATCAGAATCGAATACAACTGACATAAAATCCTTCTGTGATATCAGTGGAAATCGTATTGCCTTAACAATGTCCTCCCCAAGAATTCGTCTCTTCGTCTTTCCATCAGGAGTAAGTCCTTGCCTTTGTACTTCTGCCGCGGCCCAGCCATCGACTGCCTTGTACAGTTTTAGTTCCGTTACGCTCAACTTCTCTCGCTTCACAACAGATTCAACAACAGATCGCTCAACTGAAATAAATCCATCTGACGTCACAGCTTCTTCTGTCTGCTCTTTAATCACTTTCCAGCATCGATCTTCTAAGTCTTTATTTTCAAATTTCCGAGCGTGCGGCAGAATGAAAAACACATTAGATGCATTCAGGTTGTCGTGAAGATATTCTGTACATTTCTTGGCGAGCGAGGGTACTATGTACTTGTTCGCCAAGTACAACACTTGCATCACGTTGTTTCCGCTTAAATTCACTTTGTCGGTGTACAAGAAACGAAACAACTCCAACAGACTCTCGTAGTCACAGTCAGGCAGTTCAATAGAGTCTTTAGTCTCCGCCATTAGACCATAGAACATGGCAAAGAACACGGGACTACTGATTGCGAGCACAAACTTGTGAGCTGGGATCACCTTCTTGCTTTCAATTTCACCAATCGACACAGGAACAACAAACTTCACGTCGCTCAATATCTCGTTGTTGAAAATGAAGGCAGTTCTTTCGACGAGAGTTGGAAGTTCCGTCTGCCAATTATCGTCAGCTGCCATTGCTAGGTTTTGCTCTCAGTTCCTTTCACAAATCAAACTCTATTGAATACTATCAACGTTTGCCGTCAAAGGTATTGCTTGACGTAACTCCTCAAGTCACGCGTGAGGGTTAATTCCTCGTTTCCAGGTTGTCCACGTCTCTGCTTATGAAGTTAAGATAACCGAACGGTTTCATTTAACCTGATATATTACAAGGGTTTGAATAATATTGCCGTTTGATCAATCTGAAAATTCTATCGAAATAATAAATATAGCAGGTTTACTGACGTATTACGCACCTATCATCTTTTTGCATCCATAATCGGTCCTCAATGCTGACGAGAGTTACTACATCACGGGCGAGGAGCGGGGGAAGAAAAAATGATCGAAATACAAATGGTCAGCGGGGAAACAACTTTAATATTCATATAAAGACATATCAGTTGTAGTTGTAGAAAACAATAGTGTTTGTAAAGCCAAAATGTTAGCATTATACTTTGCTAAATAAAATGTTAAGCAATTTTTCAAAAGTATTGATTGTACATATATCTTTTACTGCTGTAATAAACAATGGAGGCATCGGAAAAGGCATCACTGGCATTCGGAAAAGCACCAAGAAGAATCATATTTACGTTTTGTAACTTGCAGAAAACAATCGTGTTGTAAAGCCAAAATGTTACCAAGTTACACTTCGCTGCTTAAAAAGTTGAGCAATTTTCCAAACGCTTTGACTGGAACGAAATTTTTGCTGCTATATTAGCGAACGGAGGCATCGGGAAAGGCATCAAGAAGAACGATATTTACGATATGTAACTTATTGTATGACGAAAAAAAAGTATCTTGCCTTGTTTGAGGCGTTAATCACAGTTGGTTTGCTTTTCACTTGAATTTTGCAATATCGACTTTCGATTCCGGAAAAATGAAAAGCTAAGCAACTCTACAAAAATTTTGTTCGCGATTTTTATATTTTTAGTTCTTTTAGTGTTTATTATGTAAATTCAATCGCCCCATTTCACGTGGAAAAAGGCAAGTAAGAAAACTCTGAGCTTCGAGAAACAGACAAGTTAAGGCTAATATGTTAACCATGCTTAAATATTTATAATCAAGGCCACTTCGTTGTCCAAAAGATCCAGACGTTAAAATAATTCTGTTTTCCGTTCGAAGTGTTTTTTTTTTCCTATTCAATTTAACAAATGCACTTGGAATGAAAACTTAACGTCCGAACCGAAACGGCAGGTGAAAGTTTAACAAGTTTAATGATGCTTTTTACCACTGTACAAAATTCTACTATACAATAACTACTAATAAAAACCACAACAATAACTAATAACTAACAATAACTATGTAATATTCATTAAATCTTAATTACCATATAAAAGTACAATCAGGTAAAGGAAAGCAATAGGGAGAAACTGAATTCCCATATAAAAACTGCTCTCCAAGGCTAATATAAATAACTATACGTTGTATAAGAAAGAAGCTGAGAAACAACTGAACAATGAACAAAAAGTAAAATCTGAATAAATCTCATTTCCAGATAACAAAACAAAACTATGTACAGGGATAATTCAGTAATCGAGTTCTGAAGGAATTCAAACTGGAAGCTGACATGGCAAAATTAGGTAAAGAGTTCCAATAAGTTAAATAAGAACTGTCGTGTAGGCGTCTCAGCGAAAGGTATATCCAGACGACTTGCATGGAAAAACTGGCCTCAGCTATCGCAACTAATTTTTGTGTGGGATTTCCCACACTTAGTCAAGGCCCGCGAAATTTATTTCTTTATTTCTTTATTTATTTGTCCACGAGAGAGAAGTGCTTGTCACGTGGTTTCTACTTGCGTTCAGTGAGCCGTGAAGACTGGATGCCAGTCAGCGTTTTTTCATAGTGTATTGTACGGCGGCCATTTCTCTTCTTAGTC